AAACTAAGTGGCATTTCTTTACCATACAGTTTTTAATTCTGTTAACTTCTGCTCCACTGTAGGGAAAAATATAACTCTTAATCCACAATTTGACTGCTTTTAATTTCCAAATTACTCTTTTGTGTTACAATAAAACATGCTACATGTTTAAACATTTAAAAGACACATCGAGGTCTCCAGCTCCTCAAAAGTAAGAATTGTCTTTAAATAAATGAATAAAACACAAATTTAAATTCCATTAGTGATGGTATAAACCTAAAAATTATTTACAAGGGCTCAACTAGAAGGCTAAAGAAAAAAATTGGTGCTAATAAAATAATTTTGTCACAGTTAAAAAACAGGTTTCTGCATTAAGTGCCAACTCTGATTATGTACATCTTATGTAAGCACATGTATTTTACATGTAAGTGATAACTGTGTGTGCCATTTGTACTTCCTCCACTATTCTAATGCATAATACACATTTATAGTGGTCTAAATTTGAAACGCATGCTTTATTAAAGTCTGGGTGCGCTTCACCCAGATTTCAGAAGTATACAGAATATCATTCACAGATGTATTTCTGGGGTAAATGTAATAGGTTTTACTGTGTAGAGAATTTATTAGAGGCCCTCTCTAAACTATGACTCGATAGAGGCTATTTTCCAAAAACCGATTAAACTCTCTGCACTTACGCTAGAAGATGAATTTGAAAACCCATGAATGAAAAAGCTCTACACGGTTGTAACTGAGGTGTGGCTTTTTGGAGGTTTTTTTTTTTGGTTTCTTTGCTGTTTATAAGAGATCCACACATCATCCACTAGAGGTCAGCATGTGATGACATTTACCTCCCTTCAGTCACGTTCTGGATCTGCAGAGTTGGAACAACGACTCAGTACCTGACCAGGATTAATTTAAATTAATTTATAAATTAAGAAAAAAGTTGTATACTACTTTGTGTCGTGTGTGTTTTGTAACCATGTTCGCTCTCTGTATTGTGAACCTCGTGAACTGCAAGGCTGTTTTCAGCTTCGCGATTGTGAATCGTAACGGACCCATTTTCTGTCTCATACAACAGTCTGAACAAAGGGGTGAGGCAGGGGCAACGTCTCTGAAGGAGGTGGGCTCAACATGGCCACACGGGCTATAAGAGGGATCAAACCTGTGACCCTGTGACAGTGGGACAATCTGTAACTGCCAGCCCACCCTGCCACTTCAAAAACACACTGCAAACAGTGGAGGAGCCCGGCATTGAACTTCACAGGGGTTATTTCCAAATCTGTGACCTTAACAACTGTATTTATAGGACACTTGGAAAAGAGTGCCTCTTTGAGGGGGAAAAAAAAGATAAGATAAAAAAAATGGGTAGAACTTTTTTTTAAAGAGTGGAAAAAAGGGATTTCAAACAGACTATTATCGAAACTGTGGATTAAAGCAGAGTAACTCAAGCTGCACTTTTCAGTCTGCGTGTGTGGCCAGAGAACAGATGCGCATTTTCATAGAAGATCGTACAAAGGGGAAAAGGAGAAAAGGAAAAAAAAAAAAA